CCCCTCCACCCCTCCATCCTCACCCCTGCCGTGCCCCCTCCACCCCACGATCTTCTCCCTGCTCCCTATCCTCACCCTGCCCTGCCCACCTCCACCCTACTCTGTGGAGTCCCAACACCACCTTGTTTCATGCAGATTGTGAGGGCGCTCCCCCACCCAGACGCCCTTTTAGAAATCACCTCGCATTCAGCCCCACCCCCCTCAGCTGCTTTCCTCCAGCCCCCAGTTCCACCCCACCCTGGGGCCCTGGGCGTGTGTGTGTGTGTGTGCGCGCGCGTGTGTGTGTGCGCGCGTGTGTGTGTGCATGTGTGTGTGTGCGCGTGTGTGCATGTGCGCGTGCGCGCTCCGTTGGGCTTCTTTGGGCCAGCCCTTCCGCGTGTGCCCCTCGCCGCAGCTGGTAAGTCCGCCGCAGGCCGCGTGTTCACAGCTGGCTGCAGCTGCCCCGGAGACTTCCTGCCAAACTCAGCCCCCACGGGAAACAGAGTCAGGTCATGTGGAGATTGTCTGGTAGGATCAACCTGTTCAAGACTTTGATGAGGGGCTGGGAAGGTGGCTCAGTGGTAGAGTGCTTGCCTCGCATGCATGAGGCCCTGGGTTCCATTCCTCAGCACCACATAAGCAGAAAAAGCCAGAAGTAGTGCTGTGGCTCAAGTGGTAGAGCGCCAGCCTTGAGCAAGAAGAAGCTCAGGGACAGGGCCCAGGCCAAGCCCCAGGACTGGCAAAAAAAAAAACTCAAAAAGAAATCATACAGATGAGCAGAAACAATCCAGAAAGCAGGTGTAACAAAACCATAAAAGCTGACGGTGAATAAAGAAGGAGAAGGCCAAGCAACAGGGAGGGGCGCGGCTCTTGGCTGTCAGCAGAGCCAGCACCTGCGGCTCGGGGTTTCTGCATCCGCACAGACGCCGCTGACCGCTGCCTTTGGAGCTGGGGGAAGAGGCATCTCCCCTCTTCCTTCTCCCGTGCGCCCCAGGAGCGATGGCCCCCTGCGCAGCTGTCACAGCCGCTGCCACAGGGCGATGAGGTGGCGTGGGCCGCTCACCACACGTCCCCAGATCTGCCCGGTAGCAGGCCTCCTGGGCTGCGCCCCCGCAGCAGCCCAGACCTGCAGCCTCGGGACCCCGCTCCTACCATGAACCGTCAGCAGCACGGAACCCCGCCTAGAGCAGTATTCCAAAGGCCAATAATGTCATTTATTTTCTAAAATCTTCTGGATTGTGTGTGTGTGCGCACGCGCACGCACGCTCACATGCATGTGTGCGTATGGTACTAGAGATTAGTTTTAGGGCTTCATGCTTGTAGTCTACCTCTTCAGCTGTGCCTCACGTCCTTTCGTTTTCCTTTACCTATTTTTTTGGTTGGACTGAGGTTTGAACTCAGAGCTTTGCATTTACCAGGCAGGTGCTCTGTTGCTGAACCATGCTGCTAGCCCGTTTGTGCACACATTATTTTGAGATAAGGTCTCACTTGTTTGCCCAAACGGTCACCTGGACCGTGATCCTCCTATTTCCCGCTGTACTGACAAGCATGCGCCACAGCCCCGCACCTTCCTTTTGCTTTTAGTTGTGTTTTTTTGGATAGGGTTTCATGCTGTCTCGCCAGCCTGGCCCTAGATGACTATGTCTACTTCTTGAGTAGCTAGCATCACAGGAGTGCCACACCATGCCTGGCTTATTTTTCAGATAGGGTCTCGTGCTTTGCCTTGCTGGCCCAGATTCTCTTATCTCTGCCTCCCAAGTAGTTGGAATTACAAGCAGGCATCACCACACTGGCCCTCACTGGATATGCCTTCTACGGATAAAAACATATCATGGTGCCCAAAAGAACTGCTCAGAACAAAGAGACTGGGTCAGTGGATGCAGCCAGTTTGCCCTGAGCTGCCGAGGGGGAGGGTTCCTCTGTAGATCCCCAGTGGGAGGGAACTTGACAGTCAGTGCTCGGCGCGAGAGTGGCCTGGCGTGGCTTTAGTTGAAGCATCCTGGCAACAGGCTGCTAGAGCATCATCTCGAGAGAGAGGGGCTGAGTGGCGACGTAACCCGCTGTTTGCACAATGGTGGTCTTGTCTGTGTCCCTCCAGCCTGTGGAACCGGACACACAGCCAGGCCTCACGCTCCCCCTCCCCGCCATCTTACAGGTGTAGTCACCCCTGCCGGCCGCCATGGGCAAACAGAACAGCAAGCTGCGGCCCGAAGTGCTGCAGGACCTGCGGGAGAACACGGAGTTCACCGACCACGAGCTGCAGGAGTGGTACAAGGGCTTCCTCAAGGACTGCCCCACCGGCCACCTGACCGTGGACGAGTTCAAGAAGATCTACGCCAACTTCTTCCCCTACGGCGACGCCTCCAAGTTCGCCGAGCACGTCTTCCGCACCTTCGACACCAACGGGGACGGTACCATCGACTTCCGGGAGTTCATCATCGCGCTCAGCGTCACCTCCCGGGGCAAGCTGGAGCAGAAGCTCAAGTGGGCCTTCAGCATGTACGACCTGGACGGCAACGGCTACATCAGCCGCAGCGAGATGCTGGAGATCGTGCAGGTACCCGGGAGGGGGCCGTCCCCGGCGTGCTGGGGACCAGCTCATCCCTCAACCCCCAGCCTTACCCCCCCACCCCTGTCTTGGTGCTTGAACTCAGGGCCTGGGCCTTAGCTTTTTCGCTCAAGTATGGTGCTCTACCACTTGAGCCACAGTTCCATTTCCAATTTTTGGGTTGTTTTTTTTTTTTGTCAGTCGTGGGGCTTGAACTCTGGGCCTGGGCTCTGTCCCTGAGCTCTTCAGCTCAAGGCTAGTGCTCTACCACTTGAGCCACACAGCATCACTTCCAGTTTTCTGGTGGTTAATTGGAGATAAGAGTCTCACAGACTTTCCTGACTGGGTTGGCTTTGAACTGTGATCCTCTGATCTCAGCCTCCTGAATAGGTAGGATTATAGGCGTGAGCCACCAGCACCCAGCTTATCCTTCCAGCTTTTTTGTGGTCAATTGGAGATGAGAGTCTCATGGACTTTAGTGCCTGGGCTGGCTTCAAAATTAGATCCTCTGATCTCAGCCTCTTGAGTAGCTAGGATTGCAGGCATGAGCCACCCGTGCCTAGCCAGGCTGTCTCTGTGCTCATTATATTCACCATGATCTGGCTACTGCCACCTGCCAGCTGTCACCTGACGGGATAGGTCCTTGCAAAGACCAGTGGCAAAAGGAGGCATTTTATTGGTCACTAACACAGGAGGCCCTAGCTGAGCTCAGAGACCAGTTTCTGCTCTCTGCATTGCATGAGATCCAAGGCTCAGAAATGATTCTGAGAATTTACCAAGCTAAGAATTACACTCATCTCTTGGGTCTGTGGGTGGCTACTTCCAGGGCCCCCTGCAGATACCAGAATGTCAGGGTAATGGATGGAATGGTGGGTAATCAGCGTGATGGTGTAATACCTGCATTCAACCTACTCGAGCTTCCTTATGCTTTAAATCATCTCCACATGACTTAGATACCTGACACAATGGAAATGCTTTGTGAATGGCTGTTACACAGTGTCATTTAGAGACTGGTGGCTCACACCTTAGCTACTCCGGAGGCTGAGATCTGATCTGTCTGCCAGTCCAGGCGGACAGAGCCAAGAGACCCTTTTCTCCAATGAACCAGCAAAAAACAGAAGTGGCTCAAGCGCTAGAGTGCAGGCCTTGAGCAAGAAAAATGAAACAAAAGCGTGAGGCCTTGAGTTCAAGCTCTACTACTGATACAAACAGTGATGATAGTAACTACGATTGCACCTACTAATAGTGGAGAGCAGCTGTGTGCTTTATACAGATGAGGTTTCTTTTTCCTGAGTGTGTTCTGTGATTAGTGGTCCAGCCTGCAGATTCTGAGCCTGCAGATAGGAGGGCCAGCCGTGGTCCAGGGCAGCCAGCGCCATCCTTTCCTCACGCGCCTTCCTGGCCCTGGCCCTGCCCCACCCCCGGCCTTCACCATCAGACTGGGTGGTCCCCATGCTTTTGAACCTCATTAACACGTCCCATCTCCTGATGAGGCCAGGACCCTGGCCTCCAGGGAGCCCCTCCCCGTCCACGTGTGCTGGGCGGAAGGCCCACCACCCAGGAAGATCCTCTGAGCACCTGTGTGCCTCTTTCTAGGCGATCTACAAAATGGTGTCATCAGTGATGAAAATGCCCGAGGATGAGTCCACCCCGGAGAAGCGAACAGACAAGATCTTCAGGCAGATGGACACCAACAACGATGGTAGGGGTGGGGAGGGGAGGGGTGGGCGGCTGAGCCTGGGGCCGCTGAATCCTGTGCGCATGCGCAGGGGCGGCGCTCTGTGTGTGTGTGTGTGTGTGTGTGCGCGCGCGTGTGCGTGCGTGTGTGTGACAGGTGCTGGTATTGTGTTTGGGGACCGCCTCCTTTCTGCAGCCCTGCTGTGGCTAGACTGAGGGGAGAGTGGGGTTCAGGGTCAGGGATCCTCCGCCCCGCATCCTGTCCCCTGCTCGTGGCTGAGGGCATGTCACTGGTCCTCCCGCTGTCTGCGAGGGGCACGCGGGTGTGTTTGGGGGAGGGGAGGCAGGCGTGCGCAGGGCTACAGGATGGAGGACTTCGATCAAAGGGTACCATGTCATGAGACTGATCATGGGATGCTGACCAGGCCTCTCTGGTTATCACCCCAAGGTTCAGGGCTGCTCAGACACCCCGAGAATCTAAGAGGGAACTGTCAGGCAGGACCGGTCTCATCTCTTCTCGTCAGCCTAAGGCTGCCATGCCTGGGACCTGGAGTCCCAGGTCAGAAAAGCCAGTCTTGGGGCTGGGAAGGTGGCTCAGCGGTAGAGTGCTTGCCTTACATGCATGAGGCCCTTGGGTTCGATTCCTCAGCATGAAAAAGCCGGAAGTGGCATTGTGGCTCAGGTGGTAGAGCGCTAGCCTTGAGCTGAAGAGCTGAGGGACAGCGCCCAGAGTTCACCCCTCACAATGGACAAAAAAAGAAAAGAAAAGAAAAGCTGGTCTCAGAGGGGCTGTGTGTGGCAGCAGTGCCCAGGGCATGCCCTGCCACTGGCGCAGCCACTCGGCGGCCAGGCTGCCCTGGGCTGCGTTCATTGTCCCTGGCCGGGGAGCCAGGACTGATTTGCTTTTAACCCACAAAGAAAGGCAGCTTTAAGAGAAGAATGCGCTCCCTGGGTTGTGCTGAGATTAAAAACACGCTAATGCAGAAGAAAGTGCTTTGTAGAGTCTTGAGTGCACAGGCAGGTGAGTTAAGGACTGAGCCCAGCAGGGGGACGAGGCCCTGCCGACCTGGAGGAGCAGAAGCTTCCAGACGCAGGGAGACGCGCGCAGACTCCTTCCCGCAGACTCTGCACGGCCTCCGCCTCACTGCCTCCCACAGATTCAAAATGTGCATCGCCAGAGGAGCCTGTGCCAGCCCTCCTTCTCAGCTTCCTTAGCTTCTCCGTGAAACCGGGACCAGCCCGGTGGTGGAGAGGCTGCACGATGCCTTGGGGGCCCTTAGCTCAGGACGGGGTATCCCACAGTGGACCCCGTCCCCCAGACCTCACAAAATGTGTTTGTCAGAGGTCCACTGCCCTGCGAGGTTTGTTTGTAAACGCGTATGGTGTGCGCTCCTCTCTCAGATAACCCTGGGGCTGGAAAGGTGGCTCAGCGATAGAGTGCTTGCCTAGCATGCATGAAACCCTGGGTTCGAGTCCTCAGTACCACATACACAGAAAAGGCCGGAAGTGGCACTGTGGCTCAAGTGGTAGAGCACTAGTCTTGAGCAAAAGAAGCTCAGGGACAGTGCCCAGGCCCTGAGTGCAAGCACCTGTAATCCTAGCTAGTTAGGAAACTGGGATCTGAGGATTACAGTTTGAAGCCAGGCTGGGCAGAAAAGTCATTGAGATCCTTCTCTCCAATTAAGCAGCAAAAAGCCAGGAGTGGAGGTGTGGCTCAAGTTGTAGAGTGCCAGGCTTGAACAAAAAAGCGCGTGCACACACACACACACACACACACACACACCCTACAAAGATCACGGAGAGCTGGCTAACCCGTCTCCCCTTGTCTCCACCCCCAGGCAAGCTGTCACTGGAGGAATTCATCAAAGGTGCCAAGAGCGACCCCTCCATCGTGCGCCTGCTGCAGTGCGACCCCAGCAGCGCGAGTCAGTTCTGAGGCCGCGGCCTGTGGACAGTGCGGAGAAACAGCCTCGTGTTGCCGTTTCAGCTTCGCTTGCACCAGTGGCTGCATCCTGCAGTCACTCCCGCTCTCCCGGGACCCGGGGTCCTGGGGGCCGTGCCTGCCGGGCCTGCGCCTCCTTCCTCCCCCTGCCCAGTGCGATCCACCCCTCCCGCCCGGCCCAGCCCCTTCCAGGGCCACTCCCAGCGAGGGCATGATGGGTAGTTCGCCTCAGCCCAGGGGCGGAGACTGAAGACTGGGATAGGTGGGGACCAAGGCAGGTGGGGAGGAGACTGGCCAAGTCCCTCCTGCGCATGGCTCCGCCCTCGCTCCTCCCCCCACCGAAGCCGCTCGCATGTACATAGTCCGCGGTCTCCTCTCTTTTAATATATAAGTTATGTGTCTGGTGAAGTGAGATGTGACGTGTAGGTCCTGTATTTAATGCCTCGGATTGCTTCTGCAGCATGCTCCCCTCCTGGCCTGTGGTTCCCCTGAGCCCGGTCGTCTCCTGGCCTGTGGTTCCCCTGAGCCCGGTCGTCTCCTGGCCTGTGGTTCCCCTGAGCCCGGTCGTCTTGTGGTATTTATATACACGGTCTGCCCAATTCACCAAGAGATGCATGCGTGCCGGGCTGCCCCGAGCCCGCCCGTGCCGCGGCCCGCCATGTGTGCTCCGTCTTCCCTGTTGATTGGTCTGGAATCTCATATTAAATTGATCAAATAAACAGAGTTCTCTGAGCGTTCCGTTGGCGGCGGGGGCTCTGTCCATGCGGTCCACGCTCTCCAGCAAAAGTGGGGTTTCCAGTGTCCCGGCTGTTAAGGAAGGTGGCCTCTCGCTTCCACCGTGGCTTCAAATCGTGGGCCCTCATATCTGTCTAATCCTGAGAAATAGCTGTGGCAATACAAGATGGCTGCTCCCAGCCGGGCGCCGAGGGCTCACACCTGTCATCCTCGCTACTCAGGAGGCTGAGATCTGAGGATCACAGTTCGAAGCCAGCCCGGGCAGGAAATCCATGAGACTCTTATCTCTAATGAACCACCAGAAAACAAAGTGGCGCTGTGGCTCAAGTGGTAGAGCGCTCGCCTTGAGCTGAAGAGCTGAGGGACAGCGCCCAGGCCCAGAGTTCAAGCCCACCACGGACCA